GGGGCGGGCAGGGCGGGCTGCAGGCACTCACGCTGTGGCCCCCCGACTTGTGCTTCAGGCAGGTGATGGAGACCACGTAGGGCCAGTCGTCCGGCTCCATGAGCACGCCGGCGGCGTGGGCGCAGGTCACGTGGAAGGACGTGGAGCAGTGCTCGTAGGAGCACTGGATGCAGGCGCCCGACACCTTCTTCATGTGCTTCCGGCAGTACACGCACTTCTGGGGGCACAGGGGGCAGCTCAGCCTGCCACCGGGGCTGCCCCAGGGACCCCCACAAAGCCCAGGTGTTCTTGGCCCCCAGCCCTGCCCCGGCCGAGCCACAGGCAGCCCAGAGCACCCCCAGACCTCCCGCCAGCCCAGCGGGCCAGGCAGGGCCAGGCATGTGCACTGTGCCCGCCAGGGAGGATGGGGCCGTGAGAGGCCCTGGGGACACGCCCGAGACGGAGCCCACTCAGATGAGAAGCAGATTGGCGGCTGCCAGGTCAGGGCAGGGGAGTGACCACAGATGGGGACGGCCTCCCTGGGGTGAGGAGAGCACGCCGCCAGAACCCAGCCGGCCTCCCCAAGAGGCACGGGAAGCCCTTCTCCAGGAGGGCCCTCTGGTCAGAGCTGGGCGAGCCCCTGAGCACTTCCAGGCGGGGCCTTATCGCTGCAAAAACCATGTTCCAAGCCGGATGGGCTCCACGGCCAGAGCCCAACTGACGGCGACGCGATCTCACTATTGACCTGCCAAGAGCTAATGCTGCCGGCAGGGATGGCGCTGAGGCAGGGTGCGTGAGACCTATTCGGCCCAGTGCTGGCCCTCTAGGCCCCAGCTTCCCCAGCGGGCGCAGGGGTGAGCAGTCCTGCCCGCAGGGCCCTGGAGGAGAGGCTCTGCCTCCGTCTGGGGTCGCCTGGGAGGGCTGGCTGCACAGCCAGCATCCCGACCACAGTGCGGTTCATTCCTGCCCATTCTCTGAGTCCCCAGGAACATCACCAGGTCCCCTTGGACCTCATCGGGAGCCATGTGGGCTGCGGCTCAGGCAGGACCCAGGCTGCCCAGAGCCACCATCACGTCACAGCAGGACCTGCCTCGCCCCCGTGTGGTCCCGTCCCCAAGCCTGGGTCTGGAAAGCCCGTGCAGGGCCAGGTGGTGACAGTCACAGGGAGTCCCGGACCCACACCCAGGCACACGAGCACACGTGGGCCGTCACCTGGGCAGGTCGCGGCATCAAGGCCTCTCAGGGTGCCATCTCTGTCTCATGAACTTGAGAGTGAGAGTGCTCGGCCCACCCTGCTGGCAGGAGAGGCTGGGAGGGCCGGGTTCCAGGCCGCTTCCGCAGGTGTCCCTTCTCGGGCGCAGAGGTTTGAGAGGGAGAAGACGACCACCACCTGAGGTCACCCGGTGGGCTGTGCTAAGCCCACACACCTCAGGGACACCAGCTGCCGCCAACCTGCTGCCACCTCCAGGCGGCAGAAGACCCTTCCTCTGCAGGAGACACGCGTGTCCCTTCACGGAACGTGGGACTGTGGAGCTCAGGAAGGGCCGGTTCAATCTGCCTGCCCCAGCTGCCACCCCAGTCTGCGGCCCCTCCTGGGCCTCCCATCTCTCCGGGCAGCTGTCAGGAACGTCCAGCCCGTCAGGGGCTGAGCTCACGGGTGAGGCTAACAGGGGCCTGGCCGCTGGCTCGCTAGGGTCACCTGTCAGTCACTGGGAGCACCAGCCTGCGGCCCGGGGCTGGCGGCAGGCCCCGGGGG